AAGCACTGTCTGACGCGTCTGCCTCCGCGACCCGAAAGGAGAAGCGGCGATGGAAGATGAAGATGATAAATATCACAAAATGTGAATCATAAAAGAAAGTTAAATCACCTGATGCGCAGCTAAAGATTTCTACCAATACCTACTAATTTCTTTGATCACGGAAATCATCAAACGCCACTTTTGTGCTACCGGATCAAAAACCGGTGCAAGAATACTAATACCCGATCATTTACACTTTTTATCTGGGGGCGTGTAAGGTACAGAGTAAAGCCTACTAAGCCGGTAACTAAATTAAAAACAGTCTTCACAAAGAATTGACCAAAAGAGGCTGATTTTATGATTAATGCGCTAAGTGGAAGGAGCAACTCATACTGGCTGATTAATGTGGTTTATTCCGCTAATTAGATAATGCTTTCTGAACAGCTGCCACTAACTGTACGGAATTGTTCTTCGGCAAAAAGTGTTCAGATAAGGATTTTAATTCAGATCGTTCTTTCCATGATGGCGTGATGCTGAAGCTGCACACTTTAATACAAAAATAAACGGTTGCAAATCAAACGTGGTTTTTGCTTACAATAGGCGATTTGGGTCACTTTACATTGTTGGCAGGACCGTAGAATCGAAGAGTTTGGCGGATGTTCCCTTTCTCTTTTTGAAGAGTAGAACGTTGTTCATGGTAATGGTCTCAGTCCGACGATCCTACTTGGTTGAATCATTTCATCCTGATTTCGTGACCCACAAACTTTTTGCCGACTTCTATCGTTTTATCCCATTGCATTAGCTGGTTCTTTGCGCAGGAATTAAATCGCAGTAACTTAGCCATATATGGATTATTTCATATCCTACCTTCTCTCCAGCTCTTGCAGAGCGTTTTGCTGCTGTCCGGCATTTTTCAACACAACAATTCATCTAGGAAATTTATTCATCTGAGATGATCACAGTTAATGTTGCTCTCTCAATTTTATGGAAATTTATGGAAATTAGAATTTTATGGAAATTTTGTTCCTTGATAAAAGTCCTTCTCCAGTGGAACCAGAGCAGGGTGTTAAGCAGCGTGATATCTGAGACGCAGCCAGACCAAACTTTCTTTTAGAATTTGACGTATTGGATCTCGATACCCGATTCTATCTCTGCATTGCACTCCTCATAGGAATTAACGTCTATTCTCGATCTCTATGCACAGAGCGTCCTGGTGTTTCCTTGCGCCCTCAAAAAATTGATTCAA